ATTCTGGAGACCAAGAGAGAGAGAGAGAGAAAGAAAAAAAAGGGGGAGCAGGGGATGCGAACGGAGTTATTCAAATGCCAAAGACGACAGAATACCATATAGGATATAATACAAACTCTATAATGTACTAGAAAAATACACTTTCCAGGGACAGAAATAACAAGATTAGTAGATATATATATATATATATATATATATATATATATATAAAGTTTTCTACGACTGACAGATGACAGGACAAATGCTGAAAGTATTCAATACATTTAATTGATTAGTTTAGTTGGCTGACTCTAACAGTAAAAGTTATTCCTATTCAATAGTGAAAATCAATAACCGATATTAACCAATAATAATAAGGATAATAATAAAACAGAATGATATAATCATTTGAAATACAAAAAAGAAATACCAATATTTCAACAACAAAAATAGAGGAAACTTTTATACCAATCGACATTGAATTCATTTAAATAGTTACCATGTAAACTATGCATTTAAAGAAACAATTGCAATTTAAAGGACGAAATCTATAATAAGAAAGACAAACAAGATAATAATAACTGGTACTAGAAGTAATTGTAATCCTTATCTTTTAAGAAGGACCCAACTAACTTTCCTCTTTTTTTGTACAGATTTGTGTAGCGCTATCTTCGGGTAACAATATATATGTTATTGGCTAATGATACGGAGAGGAGTTCAAAATTAGGTAAGTTAAAATTCAAACACTTAAGTTAATAAGGCAACTCTTCAGAAGAGTCAGCTCTCTCTCTCTCTCGAAATGCTCCCACATGGCCACGTGCATACAACCGCTGCCACTTAAGTCCTACTCACTACCTTCTCGTGACGGAGCTATTGTTTATAAAATTGAGAGGACGAAAATCGAATGTCCGGTGCTTAACCGGGTTAGTGGACATGGAGTGTCCACCTAGGGGAGTTGGAAAATTCTCATTCCAAACCAATGGGGAACATAGACTTCGGGATCGTGAAGGAACAAATGGCATATGAACCAATTGTTGGTGACCGGTTAACATGAGACTGTATCTCTTTATGTTGCTCCAATGCCTTGTGGGTCAGACCTTTAGGTTAAATACTCTCTAGGAAAACCACCTGTTTCGGTCTGAGCACTCGGAAAGTATCCCAGCTCTCACACAAATCAAATGATTTATATAGCACATATGTTGAAAGATAAAATACATGTAAGGAACTTAATGTTTAAGATATAAAGAGAGTGACCTTAAATAAATGTGGATCAAATACAATACGACTCTATTTCGAACCAATGTGATGAATAATCAAATCATTCTCTGTGTAGATCAATCTTTTTACTACACCTCAACAACTAATAGTTATGTAACTGGTGAGATTTTAGATATTATGCAAAACAGTTAACAACAGATATCATGATGTAACAACAAACTATCTTTGCAAGTTATGTGATAGTTTTAACTTGTCTACAATAATTATAGCCTGATTGAGAATAAAATTATAAATCTCTGTGAAATTAAGTATAACAATTTAAAGACATACATTGTGGAGCCTAGCTAATTACGATAAACTAATTCTAATTCACATATAATTGTAAAAACGTATCCAAATTTATAGTTATGGCCTATAAGACAAAACTCAGTAAATAAATAGTGTGTACTGATTTGTCAAACAAAATTAATCATTTAGACTAACAATCCTATTCAGTTGTACAAATTAAAGGGTATCGTGATAGTTTAAATTAATTAATTAATGATATTTCGAAGTTTACTTTACTGTACAGACCTCTATAATGAAATAATTAGACAGGTTTATATATAACTGATTTGGATTTCATTGAATATATATACTATCACGGCAATATATTTATACATAAGAATAGATTGTACATGTACGTATCCCAATGACACCAGAGATATACACAAAAAACGAGGATAAAAGGACTGATATTCCTTACAAGATTCAAACCCGAATCACTCAAATTCACAATTTGATATATTAACACCAATTTATTCGGGCACCGACTGACTTAGATATTCTTACAACTAAGTGATCATAGTAGTAACAAATATCATTTATGTCCAGTTCTTAGTGTTGATCAGATTCTCTAAGTGAAGTTACAATATTGCTACTAACATAATTAACCCAATATGATATGCTATATATTTCGATATGAGTTGGTTGGACATAGTCGGTAGGCTTTTACAATCGTGTATATTTAATTTCTAGCTATACACTATAATCTATTTACAACACCAATTCATATATATATTGTTACGTATACCTGAATATCGATTACCACGATGCGCAATGCTAACTAATGTTGGAGATGGCTAGAAGAAAGTTATGGGGCAGCCAAATTAAAATGTAACATCAGTGCTTGAAGTCACTAAGTTCTAATCTTAACCATGTTGGTAGATACACATCACTTGGTTGGGGTCCGCGTAACTATCGTAACCCAATAGTTGGAGATTCTCGGTGATATGGACCACAATCGATCACAATCGCGTAGGTGTATATATAATTTCGTATACAAATGATTCGACTAAAAGTCAGTCCTTCAGGGCACATTAACCAATTTAAATAACACCCAGAAATATGTTACTTGTACAATAAACAAAATCTCAAGTTACATTCTTTTAGTATATATATATACGGAGAGACAGAAGATAAATACTTGTAAGTGTATCTATGCATGAATTTGAGACAAACATTGTAAAACTTATAAAAGGTAAAATAATTTCTATGTGTAAAAGCCAAGAATAAAGTTAAGAATGGGGAAAAAAAAGGGAAAAAGAAGAACTGATTTCTGTTATTTTTCCATTATTAATAATTTATGATATATGGATCAAAAGAATCTCTTTCTATTATATTGATCATATGAATTGTCTATTCATATATGCAAGAATGTAGTATAGGTATGTTGACTTGGTATTTTAAAAAAACAAGATTGATTAGTAGTATAATAACAATGAGAGGGATTGTGAATTCAAAATATTTCTGACGTAAAATGATATTGACAGAGAAGAGAAAAAAGAAAGAAGTACTAAATTCTAGAGTACTTAACAGTTATGATTGTTGTTCAAATGCAAAATATAATGCATAATTTAAACCTTATCCTGGATTGTGTTAGACTATCATTGAAAATCTGGAAGCACTGGACGGCCGTTTCGTCCTATTGTGTGACTCCTCAAAAGTGCACACACAAAATCCCGCTAGCAGGATTGGAACCCAGGTTCGCCAGTCTAGCGTGCGAACGCTTAACCTCTAAATCACTAAGCTGGCTGACATTCAATGGTGTTAATGTCTAGCCTCAACTAATCCACAAATTTGAGCGACCATTTTCCATTGTACTGAGGTAGATACCTGTCTCTACCCAACACAGGTTAACTCCACTGGTCACGGTTTCTCACTAGAACTCCGAGAATTCCCTTACGGAGCCAGTAACTAGTGAACAGATGGTAATCATCAGTATAGGGTTGTGGAGATTATTAAGTTTTTGACTGAGATCATGAACCGATTGATGCTAGAACACCATAGGATGAAACGGCCGTCCAGTGCTTTCAGGTTTTCAATGGTGGTCTAACATCAATCGGTTTAAGATCTCAATCAAAAACTTAATAATCTCCACAACCCTATGCTGAAAAAATTAATTATCTATATTTTATAACCAATCGATACTGGTTAGTTTCTGAAGATTAGTTCTTAACATTGAAAGTTTTGGATACATAATTTGTAAAGCAAAAACTAGGCTCTACGGGTAACTTCCCAGTTATCTACAATTCTTCACTGACCAATCAATTGATTTTTAAATCGATCCATAACAAAACAATAATTGGTTTTCTAAGTAAAACAAATGGTACAGCACTCAGTCGATATGTTTTTGATAATAAACTACTGAATAAGTTAAGTCCGGCAACAAAGAAGTAACTAATTACGATAAAAACAAGAACTGGCATGGAATGAATTATTTTAATTTATAATCCAAGTATTATTACACTTTGAAGGACTGATGACAAATTGGTTGATGAGATAGTGAGCCTCCACGGATTGAGATGGTTACGACATGTATTGACTACGGTCAACTACCAAGTGACTGAAAGGACGATGTTGTTTAGTATAGTGATACGTTGGAAGAAAGATACAGACTGCCAAATCGAGACAACGTATTAATGCATGAAATTTTTGACAATTACAAGAGGAGCCATGTAAATACATACAAACTACCTGGTTTGGGTCTTCACAACAATCCTAACTAATACTTCGAAATGGGTAAAATAATTCAAAATTAGTCTCAAGGATGTAGATACATAATCTCTGTTTTTAGGTTCTAAATTCCCAAACTATCTTAGTTTTTTTCATTCCACGAATCAATACTTTCTTCTATAATCATAACTTCTATACTTGATTACTTCTATTACTACTGGTACTGTTCCTAATTCTACTACACTGGTATTTTTTTAAATAGTTTCAGCGCACTGTGCTAATGCGGTTTAGCAACTTGAATTGATGTACACAATGGATAGGACTGAACAACTTTAAAAGGTGATCGGTATTTCAGTACAACTAGGAAAAGATTTTATTGAAATCAATTGAGAACAAAAATAAATCAAAACTATAAATCGACACAAATAATATGAGCATTTTTATGTTTGATCACTATTATACTGTAGCTCAAAAACAGAGAATATTTGTGTAGGAGGGTATCATCCGACTAAAACTAGTAAACTAGATTTTACTGACCATGCCTTTTTAAAACGTAGTACGAAGTTAACCTTATCTGATTTAAAAAGGATAGCGCCTATTTATGACCGACACATCGGTATATTTTACTTTACTTTTTAAATATTTTTGTGGAACCAAAATTCATTTGACTTAAAAGGTTAACAACAAATTCAGTAGTGTCCTTCTAAACTATTAAAATTCCACATTGAAAAGTAGACACATAGTATAAAGGTTACTGCTGTCACACATTAAAAAAATATGTTATAATGTATCACCCAATAGACGCTTACATGACCATTTCTTCTTAAGTGAATAAGTGACTGTGCATAATCGTTTAATTCATCGCATAAATGGATTATTGCTTTACTATTTGAACTTGTTTGATTTAAATTGGCTAAATTTCTTGCTGAATTCAAAACTTGATTCAGTGCTTTCTCACCAGCTGTCATTGCAACGGAACACTAAGAGATGAAAAAATAAACAGGAGATTTAAAAAAGAATAAGACTAAACAATATATACACAGAGACAGAAAGTTTTTAATCGCCTACATTATTCTGTGAAGCTGTTGGTGTGATAAATTCATCCTTAAGTAATACAACTTTACACAACTAACTGCTCCAATTTTTATGTACCCATCTCAATCTAAAAATAAACACAGATACACTGATTAAATAAAAGATGTCCCGCCTATGATTCCTTGTAGGATTAATAGACAACTTTAATTTATTTAAATGACTTCCTAACCATGTTTTTTTCAAAGATTTTCCTTAGTGATTTTAGGATACTCAAAGCCAAACTGATATCCAATGGTCGTGTGACCATTATACATCGGGTTGGACAGTGTAATTATCAGGAACTGTAACAATTTCTCAAAAATCAAGCATAACATATTAGTCTAATCATGTTAACGACTTCGTTTCCTTGGCTTTGATCGCTTAGTCAAACGGCTAACAAGTAGCTTAGATTGTAGGCAACTACTATTTAAGATGGTTCTGTATTTCGTAAACAAATATAACATTCATTCTTGTCTATAAAACAAGAACGTTTTCGAAAGGATGTGAAAAACTCAATTAATTAATAATATAACATTTCATGTACGAACCTCTTCATTTTGTTAGAACTAATAATTCAAACAGCCTCTCTAAAACTTACTAGGTCAAAAGATTTAAAACTCGTTAACAGATGCTTTTCAAACCAGGCTGTAAATTTTCAGGTTTCGAGTACTTTATTCACATACAGAATATTAGCGGCTTGGACAAAAGATAGAAAACCACTTAAAACAGTAATCTAAAAGTCACCGGTAATGAGTAATTTAATATTCTTATATAGTTTTACCCAAACAAATATCAATTACCAAACTGAGCTTAACCAAAGGGATTTAGAGTTCAACACAATAAGACATTCTGCTCTTTAAAGAAGAGGGGTGAGGTAGTTAAGTACGGTAAATGATAAATGATAAAGGTATTCAACGAGTACAAATCAGTTTCGTCTATCTGTTCATTTTAAAATTAATCAACTGTTTAACATCTTTTTCCCATGTTAAACTATGATTTTAACGTCAGGACCATCTGGACATCCTAGAATGATTGTGAAGCATAGAACAGAATATTTGGGAGCAGTGACAAAGTAGTTCTGGCATGTGAACCTGCTTCGGTTTGGACGCCCGGGTAACATTCCAGTCCTCACAAATATCGAACGATTCGCGGCGCGTATATATTTGGTGTCTTCTTGTACCAATGTTTATGTGTTTAAATAGACATATAAATATGCGAAATTCGAAAGCTACGTTATAGATCTAAATGTTACATCAACATGAGTTTGGGCAGCTGAGTAGTATCTTCAGCCGTCATACACAAAAATAAGCAGCAAAAAAAATGATATGGTAGGTATTGATATCAGAAAATTGTTATTGTTAGCTTATTTCCTCTCTCTCTAGTTTGTTGGTTTGTAGTTTTCACGTTGGATTAAAGTAAACCAAACTAATATTGAATTATATCAAGTCAAGATGTGTTGTCTAGCATCTACTATCAATCTGTCTCAACAAGAAGTACTACTGATGAGAAAGCTGAGTTACAGAAGGGTGACATTTAAAAAGTGAAACTTACCCACAGTAGTATAAAGCTATTTTTGTAAAAACCGAGCAATAAAATACAGTTATGCACCAATCTATATAATTCCGATTACTAAGTGTGCTACACAAAAGTAGGTGAGAAATTGAGTGGCTCTCATCAACTGAAACATATCTGAATAACTTACAAAACTTATTTCCTAAAATATTAGACTGGGATTATGCATCACGGCTCGAAGTTTTAAAAGTACTAATGTATATTAACTGTTACCAAAAAATATTCTACAAGTATCTCATATCACGTCAATAAACAAAAAATACGGACAACTTACATTCGAATCAGAAATCCAGTCGCTGACAAACTGTAGACGGCTATCAAAAGCTGCTTTATTCATATGCATAGCTGCTAAGTCATCATCGAATAACTCTGATGAATCCGTTTCGGTAAGCTGTAAGCCACGTATGATTTCATGTATCTCACTGGACATTTCAGACAACAAGAAGTCTCGATTCGCTTGACTTTCAGCAGCTCCAGGTAGGTCTGTATAAAACAAGTGTAACTAGCTTAAACATTGCACACGACAGCATATTGGGCGTGAAATAGATAAAGTATGACATAACTAACAGTGAACTCGATAAAGAGTAAGTTGTGAGAATCTGACTATGAATATTTCAAACACGAATTAAATTGACAACTAATATGCTACATATCACCATATGATATATTCTTTCTAGAGACTCGATAGGGGTTTAATAAGAAATACTCTTAACCTATCCAAAGATTAACCGTTGTGCTAAGATTATTTAACCATATTGATGCCAACATAAACTAAATCCGAGCTCATGTGAACATAAGCAATTCAAATAGGCATTATTCATAAACTATGTGGACCACATGTTCATTGACCACTAATTTTTAGTGGACGTATATGGACGTAACCATCGTTAAAGTAGCTACATATATGACCAGACCTAATCGATAATAGATAACAGGATAAAACATTAACAAATTTCACTTCTACAAAGGACCTTACAACTTCAGAAGAATTGAAATTTGAGATATTTAACTTACGATTCTGATGTGTATTTACGTGCAGTTTCAAAGACGATATTAAAATAGGCGTAAGACGTTTCACTTGTTCTATACCTCTAAGAAGTAGGGCAGAGTGAGATTGAATAGTCAATTCTTCCTGTCGATTATCTACTTCTTTAATCATATCCGCCATACAAGGGGTTAGTCGCTGTACAACGTTCAAGATTCAAAAAGTAGTTACCTTGACAAAATCAGCCAAACCAGTGAGACTCGAAACATGTTCCGCAGTGGCTAGGACACTAAGTACTCGTCTGCAGTGTCTGATGATTTTTCGTACTTCAGACATATCAAAGGTAAGAAGAACAGATGATGTTCCCTGTAGTATACCTGAAGAAATTATGAACAAAATAGATTACCTCTAGATCCTTCTATCAATTTTCTTCGTGCTTCTGAAGAGCTTGGGTCGTTTTGCAACAGTACGACAGCATCCTGAAGATAAAAAGATGCATCTTCAACACGCTTGAGTGAGGGCGGCATATCCCTCTGTAGCAGCTGGTCATCACTGGCCTCGATTGTTTGATGACCAACCTTTTGTACTGGTTAAAAGAAATTTATGCTAACCTTTATAAGGTTTTCAACTGCAAGCTTTACAACATTTACGCGAAATTCCAGATCAGGAATCTCTGTACCTGATCCAGCATCTTCAAACAGCAATATTAGTTTTAAAACCTTTTAAATCGTGTGACTAAGCATTCGAGGAAAATACCTGTTGAGCTACTGGGCTAAGAATGCGTTCAATTGATTTCGTATGAAACGACATCACGAAAACAAAGTACCGTTCACATCTAAATGAAGCGGACTATGAACGTCCAATCGTTGAACTTTAGAAAAAAACATACCTTGGAGTTTGAAGATGTTGTGTAATAGTCAGTGTTAATGAGTTGAATAGTCATATTTCAGAATCCACATTTGCATTTCGGGCAGCAATTGTGTCCTGTTATGATAAAAATTAACACAAAGCTATATAGTCTATCATGCGGCTTTAAATATCTGTTTAGATAATCATTTTTGGTTCCAGTTTGGAAACGACAGGAAGCTAGGTGGAATATGTTGGTCCTCGCAATTATTTTCTATCAGTTGATTCATTTTTTTCGAAAGAGTCGACAGAGCGAGCTTTAAACACGTGTAGTGACCTACTTTTATCAACAGAACGTTATTGGTGTGATGGAAATAATTACTATTATAACCAATTGTACTAGTAATTTTTTGGCTGTACCCACATTCGCTCAGCACTTCCGTTTGTATTCTTTTGACAAGATCTCGGTATTCTTTCGATACCACAAGATCGTCAACAAATATATTTCGCTAGATCCTTCAACCGCCTTCTGATATCTGGCACTCAACCTTCTTGTAGTGGTGATCATAGTCAAATGCGACTCGATGACATGCTACAATTTGAAAGTCACCTGACAAGTAATTTGTTCTAGGCTTGTGTACCTTTTAAGAGTGTCTTCGTTAATTCTCTGTTTCGAACGACAAGAAAAATTCGGAAATTATGGGTACTAATTTATTACAAATTAATTTGAAAACTGTAGACAAGTCACCTATGGTTCTTCGATATTACAACAGTAATAAGTTTAGTTTAGCCAGTCGGACATCATAAGAGAGGTTTGCTTTTCCGAAAATCAGCTTTTTGCTGTTTTCTAAACCTTTTGCAAAGGCTAACTGTTCATTTTGTAAGCAGGGGGTAGCCTCTTGTATGCAGTGACAGCTGCATCAAGTTCTAGGACTTACGATTACGGTTAGCAAAGTCAAAAAGGTGTAGCACCGACATGGATAAAAGCCCTACATATTGACCACAGGGTTAAAACATCCTTGGTGGCTGTTAAAATGAAGTACGTAGTAGTTTTTAAGTCTTCGATAACGATGAGTACTAAGTCCTTGTGTTTGCGGACAACAGATACCTTAATGTTATTCATCATGTATGTATCTGTACATTGATGGCCAATATGCATCACAATGCACTTGAAAGTACTAGCCAGCAACTGACAAGTTTGACACCATTCAGATAATTTCTCCAGGTCATTTTGAAGCTCAGTTTATGTTTAGTTTGAGCCCCTAAATTTGCTAATTATATGGGTTTCAACTATCCAAGAGGTTGATTAGAATTTTTTTTTACCACTTGGGTGGAACCAGTGATTATATACGTTAATTCTAAATAATAACTACAAGGATGATAACCACTCTTTTATGACGTTCCCCCAAGTTACCATGTAAATTATTCACTTTACTTGTAAGACTATACTAAAAATACCTGTATATTAGGCTGGGCAAGTTTTGATGGTCATTCGGTATGTTATTAGTATTATTGGATTTATTCGATAGCTCTGACCTCTTGTTACTGAAGATAAGCAGCTACATCGTTTCAATTATTCCCGATGTGGCTTAAAAGTGACAGTTGTAAAATATATAGGAAAAGGTGTCATGGTGGTTCCAGTGTAGTCTAACAATTTGATCTGCCATTACAACGATGAAACATACGTTTACAAGTCTATCAGAGTTGGCCTCCCGTCAATAAAGTTTTTCAGTGTCGTTCAAATTCATGATTGACATTAATAACCTGAGTTTGGAAATCATCATTTTCATAAATTATTGGTTTTAAACGTTTGTACTGATTATTGAACAATCATGAGTTTTTGCCAAACTGCTGGTTTGTTATTACATAGTATCATTTAATGGCGGTTTCGTGAATTCGGAGGTAGAACAAGATCACGTTGCTTGTCCAACTCAGCATAACCTAGTTTTTAAGGTAGTCATCAGGCTTTCTATCTATCGTCTTACCTAGCAAAATTATTATCCTACCGTTTGCACTCTCTGTCAAATGTAACATTTGAATCGAGATTATAGTTGAGTTCGACAATGCTGTTTAGCGTGAAAGACTTGGAATCAGCGTGTTGGACGATGCTGTAGATGTGTTCTTCTAGTTCTTCACCACCCAGAACTACTAACGCTAAGGCACAATAATTATTCTGATTTGTTGAAATTCTTTCTCCATTCCATTCCGTTACCGGCGCTATTTAGTGTTTGTGTCTCGTACTAACTTCTCACTACTTTGACTTCACCACTGAGAACAGATCAATTTATATTCTCTTCTTGCTCCTCCCTCGATTACTGGAATACAATACTATTTTTGCACAGGTGACATTTTTCTTGTTGAAACAGTGTTGCGGTTGAAATATCATCGTCCCACTAGAGAATGAAATACAATGTGATCAAATATCTCCAATCGCCAAACTATAATTAGTGAACAAACAGTGAAAAACGGAAATCCTTAAATCCAACTATTATAGCAATTCTATTCACTTATACATCAATACTGGTATAATGTCAATTACAACTTTCTAAAACAGTATTAATAACAGCGAATATCTTCCTTATTTCGACAGATATTCAAACGCGAACTGCAAATCCCAGGCACGATAGAAATACGAACGAACAAGGAGACGGAATGTTAGAGTGACCACACACGAGCGATGATTTCAACACCTTGGGTCCCTTGAAACCTACTATAAGCAATCGATTGTATATCAATAAAAAATGTTTAAATATTCAAATATTGGTACTTGCAACTAATAAAATCATAGGTAGCATGTATTAAAATTCAATTAATAGCTTTCACACTGAATAATCTACTGTAATAATTTTAATATTATCTAAATTAACTTATTTCTCATTAGTTGCAAATGAATGTTCCACATTGTGTACATTATTGTAAAACAGTCAACTCTCAATCTAAGTCTCAGTGCTTAGTAACGATTATATGGAAAGGATTATGGCGAAGAGCACCACAACCTCATTACAATACAACGATAAACCTCGATGATCCAATTACAGCCGGATAAATTGCTCGAATCTGGTGGGTGACTTACCTATGACATGGTTCATAGGGGTCTGCAAAACTATCAATGGGTGTGGACTTGATGATTCGACGATATAATATAGCATTATTTTGACGATTAATAGATGTAGCTGTTCTTCACGAATGTTGCCCAATGTTACAGGTTCAAATTTTTAGAGATCGATCTTCATTTAGAAGAATTATGACGCCCCATGATGAAAGCCGAGTTCCTTCGGAAGCCACGAGGCCGATTCCCCTTCTGACAACCAAAGCAACCATTTATTTAGGTACATGGAATGCTCGTATAATGTGGATCCTGAGAGAGTCTTTCAAATTGCTCCTGCATTATGTATGTATATTTTCACAGTGATTATACGTAATCCCACCTCAATTTAGTGCTATAAAGCTTGAAAGAAACTGGGAATTGTAGCTTCCCATTCACAGTCTAAGTAGTAGCATCGAGGAGTTACAGTTCTTTTGATATCCAAGAAAAAGCAGTAAGACTGTTGATTCCATAGATTCGATATGCACATAACATTGACCACCTCTCTAGATATAACAGTTGTCTATCCATCTAGAACATTTGCAACAGATTTGAATTTCTCAGCTTCAGTATCTATATATTAAACAAAGACTTTGACTTGTAAAGTATTCCTAACGATCTACCAATGATAATCAGTAGACTTAGTAAGAAAACCCTTTAGATGCGACAAAATGTAGGATGACGCCAAACATTCAGCAGAATTGAAACGTATGAACGACCTCGCTAGTGGTAACTGAATATAACCACAACAAATCAATGGAAAATAGTTCTAACATTCAGATGTGGAATAGTTGACGTTTGTGCAGTTAGTTCTACCCAGAGTACCACAGTGAAATCCGAAACTTTTAGCGTTTTATTGTAGCATAGAAAATTCTAAACGAAACGGGATGCCGGATATGCTGAACCACTTTACGAGGGCATACAAGACAATCAGATCAGACTACAAACCAACATACTAAATACGCTGCTTCAAAATAAATTTGGATAAGCCGCGGTTCTGATTTACCTCACTTTATTAATAGAAAAGGATTAAAATTCTGAGGGAGTCAAATTTAGTGATGTTGTAGATCACTAACGTAGATGATCTATGTCAAGTGATCGGAGGCCTACTCGCGTTAGACGGGAATGGTGTGACGAACTAGCTAACATCGAAGTCTCACCTCATGGTCAGCACCTTACGTGGACTACCCCATTGACGTATCAAGGTATCATAGATACTTTGAAGACTGTACAACACAGGGGACATTATTACAGAAATATATTAGTTAATGTAGATACAAGCGAAAGTAAGACCACTGCCGCATGGACCATTCCGTGGCGTGCGATTAATTGGTGCGCGTTGGTTATCCTTGACCTTGACGAGGATCGATGATTTGCTTGACATCCGTTGACTTAACTGCCGGATGATTTGGCTAGGACTCAATGGAATTTCACTGGCCCTACAATGTCATCCATTGAACTATCGTAATACAACGCACAGAGATCACCGTTATTCGATGAACAATCGGTTTCATCACATCGGTTTTTCCATGATCTTCGAGGGCTAAATGAAACCATTCTATGTCTGATTTTCAGAGAACAGTACAGAAAATATAAGGACTTCTACAAACCAGTAGGATTCCATCTTATATAATCAGACGCATTTGAAAGACAAACAGACAACTAAAATTAGTTGACTGATTTTAAAAATTAATCTCTTATTTTGCATACGAATTTCGAAAAAAGTTTTGTATCACTAATGTTCAACTAGGTTGTGATAGTTGAAATAAATTGGTAGTCCTAGAAAGGATACGCGCACACATTACTTCTAGACCTGGCGAAAACATTCAATACTGTGACACATGTCGTTTTTCAACTAATATATCGAGAATAGACTTCACAATTCTTCGCCTAAAGAACAACTTACAAGAAGGGGTTTTC